TAACGTGTTATGACGTACTAGCATCGCGTATCCTCTATATAACACCTCTATATGCTCAGGAGCAACTTTGGATAGTATAGGCAGGCGTTAGGTCGTTAGCAAATGATGTAAACGATTATTGGTAACAAGTGTTTTGCTGTCGGTTCTTGCTTGAGGGGTTCGTCGATAATGCTATCAACACGCATGTGACTGGTTGGGCATTGTAGTCGAAAGTTAATAATTTGATCGCGGTTAAAATTATTTAAAGAGTTGATGACGAATCTTACGTCCATAACCGTGAAACTGTATGCTTTTCCCACCCTAATATATATTAATTTACTAACTAATTTAATAATATAATGAGCTAATGACCTTTCATCTTCTATACTTCTTTCGTGACTATACTGTGCTACATAAATAGAGAGAATTGCACACTACCGATTAAATTGGGACAGACTGCTGAAACAGACTGTAAAATGAAATAGTAAACTTGATGCAGAAAATGTCGACCGTAGAGTCAATGAACAAATTAAAATACACTAGCCTATTTGTTGAACGTTTTTAGGTGAATAGATGAGTGGGTTTACCGGGTTAAGCCATGATGCTATATAGCCAATTAAAAGTGTTACATATAATTTCTCTCTGGTAAAATGAATTTTTAACCGCAGTGTGTAATTTGTATATTATAAAACACGGCTCTCGATTGGCTATGCATACAAACACGTGCACTCATGATTGTGATGCATGGTAGTGATGACGTGACTTTGGAATCGTATGATGCCGCATGTTCCGGGCAAATCGGCGTAAACTACTTGAAAGTTGTTCAAGCTCGTAAGCGCGGCGTTTATTGTAAAGGAAACGACGTGTTGTTATTGCCTGCGGTGCAGATCAACAGCTAACGTAGCGTTCTTGCGTTTTTCTGCGCTTGTGCTCGCTTCCTAACCGAAAGGGTATCTTGAAAGACAGATTTATTTATAAGACGTGTTTGGTATCAGTGTTGATAATTACCAGAAAGACTTTTGTACATACAACAGCTGACGGCGATGAATCTTGCTGAAGCCAACTTTACAGCCTCTGTAGGAAGAGAGCAAAAACTCCGAGCATCTTCCCCAGTATCTATGTTCGTTCTAGGAACATGCTGGTATCGATCTAGAACTGATTTGCGTCGGGGGAGGGGGTTACAAAGACATGTTTGCATTATTTACTGAGAATCTGTAAACCTAGATAGTCCACGACACATTATACAGCACTCAAATACACAATAGAAAAACACAATAACGCACAGTGAACATGAACTATGAACTGTCATTTGGTTTTAATTGTCAAATTTTTCATTTTCATTTCGAATTTCGTTAGCAGGTTCTGGCAAAATAATTATATTCAACAATTTTAACACATTGAACTGAATTGTGATTTTCTAATCTAGTGTAACTAGATGATTAAAGAGATAGTTATAATTTACGTTTCAACTTTCTTGGTTTCTATTAGTATAGTAATCAGGGATACAAACGCAGAACTACTTACGCAGAAACAAATAAGTGTGTGCATTTAGCGTGGTGTGTGCATGGTTAGCCTGTCGCCTCTTACATCCATGTTGTAGCTATGCCAACAAAAGCTTGACGACGACAACGATTAACAGAGACAGTCTCAGAGCAGAATACATTTTCACAGCAGCACAGCTTGCTTGTAGGCATAGTTGGGTGATTCTGAGGTTAGGGGGCAAATTGCAGTTTTAAATTACTGAATTTTTTTTATCATCCTTTTGGCATATTTATGGAATTTTTCCAATATTTGTAACACCGTGGCCCTGAAACCACAAAGATCATTACACTTTTTTACTTTTTTACTTTTTTGTATACCTTTATAAGCGCATATACATCAACTCCGTTACAATTTTGTAACGGAGTTGATAATTTTGTCATGTTTGACCTTGTTGGTTCCACATGGAGCAAGGACAAGATGCAAATAATATGTTTTATTCAAGAGGTCAATATGCCTGTCTTCTTCAATTTATGATGTTTGGTTTCTATGGTTACTTATCATACAATTTGCGTAACAGAGGTGATGAATGCATTTAAGTACGCATTTATTTTTCGCAAATTTTCCCCTTGAAATGTGATGCTGGTTGGTGTGATTGCTCTGATTGTCTGATTTGGTCTGATTGGATCTGATTGGTCATTGGTT